GTATAATTGAAAATATAATCCTATCACATCTGCGATATCGTAACAACATCGTATCGAGTTTTATCGCACGAGCTTTTCCTCGTGTGAATAAATACTCATGTACGCGTACGAAGTTGGCTTTATATTTACAAATTATTTCTATGATTTACGCCAATATCTCGAATCAAAGTAAATTATTTCGAAAGTAATTGCTTCAGGAGATGTATTAAATAAATATCTTTATTGAAGAAGATGTTTAAACACTTCTTCATCGTACTCTACTGCTTCCTCAGTTCAGACAAAATGGTTTATGAGGTACAACTAGGAAATTAATTTAAAATTTTCACGTAGCTTTACACGTCTAGTGAGGTCAAGGCATATCTCGACTCTACATGTGTATTAGCTATCTCATGTTTGGTAACGCGGCGAAAAAGCGCGAGAAAGAATGGCTTGTCTGCATCGAGACTTACAGGTGTTTGCACGAACCGACCAACTTCATTTGCCCGTGGAAATAGGCTGACCTTTAACACCATGCTCCCACACGGTTGGATAGAGCTGTGATATTCGTCTGTTGAGCGCGAAAAAACGAGATAGAACGAGGTAACAGGTTGTCCCTGTTGACTGAGTGTGACGGTGTGAAGTTGCGACGGGGAGAAGGCAAGAGGGAACGGTCCCCCATGACCGATCGAATTTTACGTTAATTAGTTAAGCGTCGTCAAGTCACGCGCGAGGGTGTCCGAGTGTCGCGAGTAATGAAGGAGCTGGCACAATGGAAATTTTACGCGTGAACTCGATTATTTCATCGATTAAAAGTATTGGTTGCAAATAGGACTACGATAGGATCGCTAACAGTCAGGAAATTATAATAAATGAACGTATCACTCGCACTTGATGAAAAAGGAAGATTTCTTAGATCTCATCCAGGTACAGTTCCGACCCATATCAAAGATTATCAGTGATATTCCAACCAAACGAAATTATAAATGATTAATGACAAAATAAAATAAATTACAAATTAATTACAAAATGTGGATGTAAAATTGTCAGAGAGAACTGAGTCTTTTCTTAAGAAAAAAACGATCTCCTCATTATTTATACCCAACATCCGAACCAGCAACGGCAAAGTTGCCTCCCTATGATTAATCCTAATCACCCAGTTTATCCAGTATACGTTCTTAGAAGCAGGTCCGATTTTTTTGACACCCCGTACGAAGAAACCACTAACTGAAAGCGTCGGAGAGCGGACTCCTGCACTAGAATCGCGCAGTCCTCCAATTAGTCCCCGCGGAACCTGTGTTCCCCTACATTTCAATTGGCCGACGATCATCGAAATGATTCTGGCAAAAAGGTAAAAAGCGCGAGCACAAGTCGCTCGTTCGTTGGTGGAAAGAGGGCAGCGGAGCTGTCTGTAAATCGTCGCATTCTCGGATCGGTGGCCGGAGTCGCAACAAGAACGAGAGGACGCCTGTCAAGGAACGGTACAGGCGGAGGGATCGCTGGAAAAGATCGACCCGCGAGACGTCTCGAAGCCACCGGTAGCTGGTCGGTATCCGGCCGGTGTCGAAGAGGCCGGCCAGCCTTAAAAAGTGGACCAATTTTCAGTAATTTGTACGCGTTGGTGCCGCGAACGCGCACGTATCCGTTCGTGCTGGCAGCACGAGGATCGTGCTTCCTCTCTTTCGAGACCCCCGTACGTGAATCCCGTACGCTCCCCGTACGTGGAAGACGGTAGCGCACGTACGTGCATGTGCCTGTAAGTACATACAAATACATACGTCCGTAATACGTTTGGGAAGAAGGTGTAAAAGGTGGGGACGAAGGACAACAGACGGAGGAGGGATACGAAAGCGTGACGCGAGACGAGAGTAGGAGACGGAGAATCGAGCGCTCCGAGAAGGGTGGCTGCGCTGGCAGAAGGATACTTTCGAGGGAAGAGGAAACCTTCGACGGTGTTCACGGGTTCGGTCGATAGTCTTTTGTTCTGTCAAACGTCGGAACGTGGACCGCGCCCGGTTCCTCTCCGGCGCGGGAGAAGGAAACAGGAGAGGCGGGAGCCAGAAGGAAGAAGAACAGAAGCCTCTCTTCCCCGTCTATGTTGGTTCCCCGTAGCTGGAGCTCTTTCGTCCGAAGGACGAGGAGAACGTAACAGAGAAGACAACGAGGAGAGGGCTTCGAGAAGCGGAGTTTTTATTGGGGCGGCTGCTCTTGCAGCTAGGGTCCGGCAATCGTCTCTCGCCAACTCGATATATATGTATATATATAGACGACTGTCTGTGGCTCGAACGTGTGTGTGTGTAAGTAGTACTTATACGTAGGCAGGAACGTTTCACGACTACACGCAAGGGATGGGTACACACCGGCCGGCCGGGCGCAAGAGAGGAGACGGCGACTCGTTTTCTGACTGCAAGAAGGGCAGCCAGAGAGCCAGCTGCTACCGCCAGCATCTACCGCCATTGCATTGGATGTTACGCTTCCGCCGATAGCCGAGGGGGACCCGACGTCGTCCACTTCGCGTCTTCTCCTTTTGCTCTCTCTCCGTATATCTCTCGGTGTTTCTTCTCTTTCGTTCTTTGCTCGTTCCTGCTTCGTGTCCGCGAGCCGCGATAAGCTCCGTTGCCGATTCGATTGCCTTGCCCCCGCCTCGCCTCGTTTCGCCGGAAGCTGCCCGGGACACAGCAGATGGCTGCCGACAGGGTGACAGAGGCACGCGTTACCTGTGTATATTGGCCCCGCAAGAAAACCAGTACGCCGGACTGTTCTTCGTTCGCCGACGTCGAGAGACGGACCTACCTGCTGCGGGAGCTTAACCTTTCCTCTCTCCTCCTCCTCTTCCATCATTCTATCGTGGAAATGATAAAAACGAGAAGGAGGGATGGAGGCCACTGCTGTCGTTTGACATGGTCGCGCGTCGCGTTCTCCACGCAGTCGTACGAGATATTGCGTTTTAATTAGAGAAGACGAATTGTAAAGACGAATTATCAGAGAAACAGAGAAAGAGAGAGAGGAAGAACGCCTGCTGTTGACCAGGTGATTACGGCGAATCGTATAAAACGCGACCGCCGTCGAGCTTTCACCAGAGGAGCAAAAACGTCCCAAAGGGAACGACGATGGAACACCTGCTGACGGAACGTTACGACCGCCTCGCTGAAGGATATATCTGTCGATAAGATCTGTAATACAGGACAGGAAGCATCATCCTGTGTCCTGGCTAATCATAGCGCATCCGTCGAATCAGAATGAGCCTGCAAACCCGAGCCTGACCGTTCGTCGTATACGTCGAGGTTGCCAGACGGCGAGTGTTGTGGCTACGGAGACGCGAATAAAAGTAGGAAGAAGAAGAAGAAGAAGAATCGAAAACGAGCAGATCCATAGATTCAGAAAATCAGAGGGGTAGGTTGCGTAGATTCCAGTCTCCACAGTTGGCAGGAGCCGGTTGATCCTATGGGATCAACTGACGTTCGCATCTGCCGATATATTTCACGGTTGACTGCGACAGTCAGGCCGCGAGTTTATGATAATGACAGCGAGTAGCAAGTTTCCTCCGCAAGTCTGTTGGCGCTATTTTCAGGCGAAGCCAAGCAATAGTGGACGAGCCAACGAAAGCGACACGAGGCCGGAGAGAAGAGACGTAGACGAGAAGAGGAAAGAAGAGAAGAGAAGAGAAGAGAA